GGACGAGGAAACCCTGTAACCCACGGCAACAGACGAGGGCTGGACGAGGAAACCCTGTAACCCACGGCAACAGACCAGGGCTGATGGGCTGGAGGGACGGACGGTGGTTCCTCTGAGCTGCTTTCTTCTTCTTTGTGTTCTTCAGTCTCTCATCCTGTCAATCATTAATGAATGAAACACATGAGGTGTTCAGGCTCCGCCCCCATGCGTGAGCGAGCTTCCTGTCTGATGACCCGTGTCCTTCCTGGTGTTTAGATGTTGCTGCTCTGTGTGTGAAGGAACCTGCTGTGGAGCGTCTCATCCTCCCGCCTGCTGCATCCAGACGCTTCTCCGCCATGTTGGGTTCTGATCTTCTCCAGGATCCTGGTTCTGATCCGAGTTCTGGTCCAGAACCAGCAGCCGATGGAGGATTTGATCCGACTGAACCTTCTTCTATTTTAATGATTATTAAAAATGATTTTATTCCAGGTTTCTGTTTCTTAACAACTTTTTTATGTCTGTTTTTTGGAAATTAAAATGTTTTATTTCATTTATCTTTCCTATAGTTTGATCAATGGGTCATTTATTATTATTATTGCTTTTTGATCAGTTTTATTCTCTTTCATCATATAACTGAGATTTAAGCTGTTTTTTCTCCTATTTTTTAAGTTTCACAGACTTTATATCATAAATGTGATGTTATTTTTACTCTTAGAATTCAATAAATCGATTTATTTTTCTGTTGCTATTTTAAGCCTCTTCTTTTTTCGGTGGCTTTTGGTTTCAGACTTTAGTCGATTTTGTGGTTTTTGGCTCTTTTGTAGTAATTCTGTCTTCATAATGTTTTTCTGTTTTTTGATCATTTTGTGGTTAATTTTCTTGCTTTAATGTGTGTGTGTGGGGGGGTGCTGTGAGGGCAGGGTGTGGGGGGGTGCTGTGAGGGCAGGGTGCGCCTCGGGGCTGTGGGTTACAGTAAAGCTGCAGCATGCATCGCGCTATGACTCTAAATCCAAACTGTAGTTTTTCATCTTGTTCTATTTGGAGGGAAACTCTGCCTCCTTTTCTCACCTTGACTTCATTTATTCCAGCGTTACAAATACGAGCCAACCGCAAAATGCTGATATGATCCTCGCCATCAGTGTGCAGCACCCACAGATAAACACAGACGGCATCTTCTCCCTCCCCCACCTTTCGATTGTTCAGACGCAGAGCAGAGCTCTTGGTTTTGGTATCCGGTGTTGCTCAGCAGAACAGGAAGCTTCTATGTTCCTTCCCTAAATGTCACCAAAAATCAAAGACACCTTTTATTCTCTTTCTGAACAGCTTCTAGGAAGTAAATGCAAATAATCCCAAGACTCTCTGACATTAAAGGATGTTTCTTGATGTGAACCAAAGAAGCTGCAGTGAGTAATTCATCCTAAACTCTTGGAATGAGTCATTCTGAGAGAGAAACTGCTGAGTCATGGATTGAAGCTGCTCTGGTTCTGGTCGGGGAGGATAAACAAAACACTTTATGTTTGCTAAAAAAAAGTGAAAAAGAGAATTTTTCTCACTTTCAGTTAAAAGTCACAGCTGAAAGTTTTTCATCTAAACTTTTCCTAAATAATCCACAGAATAAAGAAAATGATCAACCAGTAAAGGTCCAGAGACATTTTTAATTATAATCTGTTATTTAAACAGAATTTAACGCTGAAAAAAAGGAGATTTTTATGCAATCATCCTATACATTGAATAAAAAAAAAAAAAAAAATTAAATAAAAAAAAAAAAAAAAAAAAAAAAGGGGTGTTTTCGGGGGGGGGGGGGGGGGGGGGGGG